TTTATGATCTTGGATCCACACACACAACTTCCTGTTTACAAGACTTCAGAGGCCGCTTTACAAGCAGAAAGGAATCCAGAGAAGTATCATACACATTTTGCTATGAACTTCAAGAAATTCCGTTTTTCTGCAAGGATTGTGTGGTATTTGATTGACCGTGACAGGAATCATTTAGAGAGTTTTCTTCACAACTCCAACAGTAGATTTGTGCAACATGCATGCTATCAACTTCGTGAGTATGTTCAGGCGCGTGTTGCAGTTTCTGATCCCTTGTATGAGATGATCAAGAAGGAAGAGTTTGAACGCCAATACAATTCCAAGTTTTTGGAGGCGATTTCTTGCTCTCGTGTTGTAGTTGAGCCTGTAAGTTCAGGGACGTATGAGCCATCATCGAAGCTGAACTTAAAGGTACTACAAGACATCCTGAAGGGTATCTTCAAGATCCAGAAGGATGAGGAGCTTGCCAAGGAACGTGATGAAGAAGAAGAACAGGCAGCTAAAAACATCTCATACCTGTTGGCAGATGATATGGAGCTTGATTTTGATGATGATGATGTTCCAGTATGGCGCTCCATTGTCGACAAGTATAGAGGAGGTGATCAGGTGCTACAGGGAGAAGCTGTGAAGATTACTCACCTGTTCAGGGATCAAAAGGACAATGAGAAGGCGACAGAAGCTTTCAGTTCAGAGAGGACAGATTTTTATGAGACCTCAGGACCTCTTCCAAGAACCGAGGGAGAAAATCTTGTAGAGGACTTGCTCACCAAGGATGTTGCAGAACAAGCTTTTGAAGTAGGTGAAGAAGTTCCTCCTTATACAAGAGTCTCCACTATCGCTGGTGAAGTTTATACTGGCAGTATGACACTTCTGGAAGATGAGGATATGGAAGAGGAAGTTCCTGAAGAAGATCCTGCAGTTGAACCTGGAAAGGAACAAGAAATATTTAATGAAGATGCAGGTGTTTTTCCTTCAGAGGAACCAAAGATGGAAGTTGACCAGGAGAAAGCCAAGGAAGAGTCAACACCACACTTTCTGTCAAGAGAGATAGGTGAGGACTCGACTGCATCGCACTTACCATCAGGTGAGATGGATGCTAACATTGATGATACTTCAGGTCAGCGGAAATCTAAGAAAAGCCGCCTGAATAAGATTCCTGATCCTCATTTTCATGAAGAAGTTCAGGATGATGCAACCATGGAAGAGAAGAAAGAGGCGGTGGAGAAAATAAAAGAGGTCAGAGAGGATGATGAAGAGAAGAAATTGGAGGCTGAAATCCAAGAATCTTTTCCATCTGAAGTAGTTGTTGAAAAGGATACAACAAAAGCTGACAATACCTATGAGTTGCATACTTCACCTTTGAAGTTGCTTGGAGAGCTTACAGGAGATCCAGGTATTGGCTTTTATCAACTACGCTTCAGGGAAACTCATGCAAGATTGCTGAATCATGTTTGTTTCAGAAAAGGTGAGATTTCCCATCCTCATTATCAGTCAAGGATCAACGAGAATGATTTTGTTCGATCCATTCGCAATATCTGTCCAGTACCTCCACCTGATTGTTATGAACATGAACCAAGGCATGATTTGAAGAGATTCTTCATCAATGATGACCGCATCATCTATTTGGATGGCAGGTATCAGGTCGATCCAAAGGCCCTTGAAAGGGCAGGTCATGCTCGAGAAGAATTGGAGGATACGAAAAAGGAACTCAAGAAGGAACTGGAATCATATGGTCCCAAGGGACCCAGTTGGGACTTTGTCACCTTCTATGAAGAGCTGTGCAGAAGGTTCCTCAAAGGAAGAATAGAAGAACCATATGGAACTAATTTATTGGCCAGCTCAGAGTCCTTGACATTTTTATCCTGGAACTATGGCAACATGGTTCGTGGTCAGAAGTACACCACACCAAGGTTTCTCCAAGGACTTGATAGTGCAATGAGGCCACGCAAACCGAGCGCCATGTCACTTCAGAATGAGCAATTTGAGAACAACCTTTTTTTCAACATGCTCTTCTTTTTACGTGCACATGTCGTGATTCTCCAGGAAGCTCATCTTCTTGTTCCTGCCAAGGAATTTATTGAGCAAAAGAATTGGACAGTTTGTTTCAATGATTGGGAGAATCTTGCAGTGATGGCTAGATTGGCACCAGGTGGATATGTCAAGATCATTGCTGGACATGATCAAGAACTTGGTCACTGTGAACAGCGTGATGTAACTTGGGCTATCTACGAGATTTGTTTTGGAGAAACAAGGCCTCGTCAAGATTTCAAGGATGCAGACTTTGAATTTGATGACTATGGTCCTGAGGACAAGCGTGTTCCACTTACTCGAGCGAACATGCATACCATCAGAGTCTGTAATTATCATGTTGATACACACCGTGCTGTGGATGCCCACCTACTGACAGGAGAACAGACAGCATTGATGCTTTACGAGTGTTTTGTCTATGAGGTGGACATCATTTCTGGTGATGCAAATAGTTTGGCCTACAGAATGTCTGGGTATAAAAGGCAGCCAATGGCTAACTACTATTACAGCACCATGCAGCATTGGATCCGCAGGTTTTCAGAAGCTCGTGTCAAAGCAGATCCTGGTATCAAAGCACCTATTCCCAGAACATTTTACAGTTCTACTTCACAGGTCCTCAAGAAGTGTGAAGTTTACTTTGATAAACTCTGGGAAGAATACTCTACTGTTGAAAAAGAAGAATACCAAGGATCACAGCTTGGCGATACACGTTTGTCTACCATTGTCGAATGGGGTCATTCAATGAGTGAAGAGGAATATGAAAATTCCACAGTGAGCACGAAGGAGTTCATCTGTAATTTTTCAGAGAACTTTGCTATGATTGACACGGAGGTTATGTGCTCAAGGCCCACTGACGAGGACAGTCATGGTCCAATGTTTATTTCACTCAGACCAGCTTCCCTTTCATCTGGAGACAGAAGACAGTATCGCATGGGAGCAACGCTTCAAGAGGCGAACGTGCGGAGGAAGGAGAGACAGAAGCAGAATAGAAAGAAAGGAAGGCCGCCAACTTCTGATCAAGCAGCTTCATCGTTTGCAGCGGCATAATTCCTGAGCGAAGGCTGAAATTTAAATGATGGCTAGGAAGTGAAGATACTTCTGGTTACAGGTGATACTTTGCTTCCAGGCTTGACTTTAAGTTGCCAGGCTGAAGTTTTAATAAATTCTGGTTTGCAATAAGGAGAAACTTTTTATCAAAGAAGATACTCCTGCATTCCAGGTTTATATGCTTTAGCATTTGGATAGGTATGGACAGTTTTACATAACTGATGATATCTATCATCACCGCTCTTATGAAGTGACCTCTAATGGACAACCAGTCATGGTTGATGATTAAGTCATTTCAAGATTTGCAATTGTAGTGCAAGATTTTTTTTGTACATACATTTGCCGGTATCTCCTTCTTGTGTTTTTGATGTGAATGTGAAAGAGAGTCCTTTTGATGCAGTTTATTTTGTCTGTGAATGAAAGCGGTCGAGACCACGTCACGAGAAGATTATTCATCGAACCGTACGCTCCTTGCATTTTGCAAGGCATCTTAATTCATTGCATTGTGCGGTCTTGAATTTTTAGTTCTTTGTTACGCGAGTGTCGTTTGATTCTTTTATAGGTCTCTGTAGAGAAAAAGCCGCTTTCCCTTTTTAGTTTGATTTAGCTCAGGCCCTAAAGAGCTAGTGAGCGCCGGTACATGGTATCTCCGCCTGCGAAAAGTACAGTCTCCAGCCGAGGTACATTATCGATTTGATTTTGTACTTGAGGTGAGTCAGCTATTGCTCCCTCACTGTATTTAGTAGCTATGAGATTACCTTCTCTGAAGTGTGAAACACACTGGATTAGGTAAGTACATGGCACCGTAGTTTTCTTTTAAGTTGTCAGAGCTAGCTGGACTGTTTTAGCCTTGCAGTAGAAAAAGAGTATGCGACATACGCAATCAGCTAGAAGTGGACATGAATCTTGTGCCTGCTGAAAAGTAGAGCCTACCTGTACAGGGTTCCACTCCAACAGCTGATATAGTGTGTCCATGCTTGACTGCTTCAAGGCTCAAAGAGCAAGAGGATAAGACTCTGCGCATAAAAGACACTAGCGGTCTGCACCTCTACCGTGTACGCCCTAGTCACTCTTTCACCCCCCCCCCCCCCCCCCCCGCGGGTTCACCCCCCCCCTGGGACGCTTCCGGTACGTGCTATAGTGCTATGTTTAGGTGGCAGGTGAAGTAGGCCACTGTTGAGTTTGGAAGGGGGGCATGAAACATGAAATTTACGCGAGGGTTCAAGGCTTCAATGATGAGCATCACGGGAAGTCAGAAACCAGGCGTATCAGATACACGTGCCTTTGAGCTTCCTTCGGCATCTCAGTGCATATGGCTGACACTTCACTTGACAAAGATGCTCAAACAAACATACATAAACCAGGTGTATCTGATACGCCTGGTTTGTGACTTCCCGTGATGCTCATGATGCTGCGTTGCTTTTCTTCAGTCCCCAATTACATTTACATGACGATCCAACAGCAGATTCAACAAGCTCACATGTTCATGACATCGACATCGATAGAAGAAACCAAACAAATCATGCAAGCAGCTTTGTTTTGCCTCTGGGACACCTCTTGGGCACCTCTTATGGCATCCACACTGGTTCAACTCCTCCGTGGAGGTTTTGGGATACGGATGGATACGGTGCAACAGATTCAACAAGCTCACAGGTTCGTGAACACATCGGATGCATCGAACAGTGTGGCAAAGTCCAGCCACGCTTCCTTAATTATCGGGGACTTCAATTCTAAGGTTGGCTGTGTCATTGCTGTTTGTGTGTCTTACATGTTCACAACGTTTTACCTCATGAGCATTTGCCTCACTCCGCTTGATGTCCCACCAGTCCGGATGCACCCCTGCTAGCTTTCGTCACCTACCCTCGGCCTCAAGTTAACATATAGCTTTGCACAAGTCAGCTTTCAGGGTCATGTGTCTCCGCGCCCAGGGGCTGCCAGCAAAGACTGGAAGTGATATGAAGGATTGCACTGCGTGTAAGTTGGCGGCGAGCAGTGCCCCGGAGAAGGCTGAAGAGGAGGAAGGCCAGAGCATAGGGGTGCCTGCAGAAGGAGAGGGCATGCGAAGTGGTTGTGGTGGTTGGTGCTAGGTTCAAATTCTTATTCAATTCCCTATGGATCCGCATACGTACTTCGGCCCTCGAAGCCTACTTAAATAGTCTCCAATCACCGTACCTCAGGTTCGGTGTGTGGATCGACACAGGTTTTACGATTCATGGGTTTGTGTGTGATGAGAAACTGAGGCAGCCACAAGTGCTGTTGGTCCATGAAGCCCAAAAAAGTGCTTGGTGGGGGTTTAGCAGGCTCGGCCTGCTGTTTGTTGCTTCTTAGCTGGTTCCCCAAGGAACCCACTCTTGTTTCACTGCGTGTACAAGATCTTGGATGACCAGGGTCTTTTTTCGGGAGCTCGAAATTTGCTCAGCCATCAGGTCAAGGATGAATCGGCTGTTGGCATGCTGATAGCTTGCAGTGATGCCCAATGGCCACTGCTTGTTTCCGACATCGTAGTGACAAACTGAACTTGCAGAGGACCCAGCTCGCTGTCATTGTCATCGCTCCCCATATTGCCAGAGGCTGGCGGCTGGCTAGAGAGATGGATGGGTCGGGGCACAGGTTGCCAGCCTTTAACGAAAATAACAGACGACCCACAAATTTTGTCATTCATTCAGACTAGATTTGCTCATATTTGCGCCATGGATTTCAGGTCTATACACAGGTTGATTCGGGCACGTGAGTTTAGTTTGCGATGCAGTTGTTTAACATAACTGCACTCCCAAAACTAGGGCAAAAGGGCGTTTTGGCAAGAAAGGCACGAGTCGTCGTCGAATGCTGTGTGCCGGAGGAACAACCACAAACAGCCACTGGAAAAGGTGTTGCAGGTGTTGGGCGACTTCATACCTGTCCCTGTTAGACGTCATGCAGCAATGCCAGCGCTATACAAACTATAATTACTTATAATAAATTGTTTGAACGTTCAACTTGCCCTCTCCTTCCCACATCTTAGGTGTGCTCAGAAAGTCTGACAAGTCAGCTTGAAAAAGGACACACGTGCTCGCACCAAGGGGCTGCCAGTAAAGACTGCCAGCAGCCTCAAGGAGGTCGCCGAGAATGCTTTGTGCGAGCTGACAACTGGCAGTGTGGGAGCAGATGAGGATGTTGAACACGTGGAAGAGCACAGTTCCCGGGCATCTGCTGCAGGAGAGGGTTCGGTCCAGTGTTTTTGGAGCTTCTTCCAAGTTGATGTATGGATATATGATATGTACGGTAGATTTGTTTGTGATTGAAGGGACTGAATATGCGCCGATTTTGAATATGCGCCTGCCTGCACAAATCTCTAGAAAAAGTGATGCAGCCAGCATAAGTAAGCCCTCCTCCCTCACAGATGATAGAGGAACCCGCTCGCTGTCACCGCCATCGCTTCCCATGTCAGTCGATGAGGCTTGGGTTGTGGGTTGGGTTGGGTTAAGGCCTTGAGGTTGTCAGGCTAAAAAGCGCTCCCAGCTTTTAGCATTGTGTCGCATCGAAGTGGCTCTAGCTTGCAAGCTGGTGGTTAATTCAGACAGTGAGTTCATTGTTCTTGTTTTATAGTATATTTGATGAGCATGTGTATCATGTGTATCTGCAAGACGGGGTAGAAAGGCATGAGAAAGAGGCATCCGACAAGAACAGATGGATTGCTCGCCCCTTTTGGTTGGAAATCGGTGGAAGCAGTGTCGGCTTGTTGCAGCACATCGTGAGCACCACCAGGGGCTGCCAGCAAAGACTGCCAGCAGCCTGAAGGATTTCACCGTGGAGAATGCTCGGAGGGAGCTGACGGATGGCAGTGATGGCAGGGTGGCAGCACATGAGGATGTTGCAGGAGCATTTGCTGCGGCAGCGGCCTCGGGCCCGCCAGCCAAACGCATCCGGGTTGTGCTAGAGAGAGTGTGAGAATGTTTTAGACATTTGGAGCCAGATTGTTTCGACATTTGTGAGTGGTAGAATTTGGAACGACCATATTAATTTGGAGAAGGCAAGAGCTCTCCTGGCATTTTGTTCTTTTTTGCCCAGCTACCGGCTACCGGTGTGAAACAGATTTCCAGTTCTTTGTTGCACCCCAATGTTCCCAGTAGACCACTAGATAGAAGTTCTATCTATTGGCATACTGGGTGGTACAGGATCGTACAGGTCCCATTCGATGTTTCCTATCCTTCTAAGAGCAATGGCTGACCTGGTCTTGTAGTCGCAAGTCCTTAGTAAGACAATGGCTGACCATTATATAAATACAAATCAACACAATTCAATTGTGGTTTGAATCCATGGGGTTCTTTTTTGGGCATGCGAATGGTCAGGAGGGCGCAGCCGCAGTGGCTCGTCTTCGTCATCCTGCGGATTGGAGGACGAGGTGAGGGGCTTCTTTTGGCTGGCTGGGAGGGATGTATTTCTTCCTGTCAAAGTAGTTTTGAGATAGCTTCAATGATCCAGAGAAGCATTGAATATGAACCCCCAGAGACGCCACCAAAGGCATCCAGGATTTTGGTCCACAGCCGGGTGGAGTGGGGTAGGGAATGCACTATGAATGCACTAAGCGCCGGAAAAAGGATTCGCACCAATTGACACCCAAAGATGCCAACAACCCTGGTACGGTTTCCTGGTCCCACCTTCCCTCATGTGGGAAAGAACATGGGTTCAGAACACAAGACGTGCAGAGACAGGCAAGATAGGCTGTCGGTCCCAGAGTAGTGACAGATCATCAGAACTGATGTCGTCAACACCAGGATGGGTCTCAAGGCGGGACCGATTTCGGTTGTGGACCCCCCGAGCTACTCAACCTACTGCCATCTGGATAAGCAACGAAAGTTCCAGTGCATGGGTGGACTGGTGGGCCGGGCCGTGGACTGGTGAGCACCGAGGGGCGAGCCCAAAACGGGCCGCGTTTTCACAGGTCTCGGCCTTGGGCCGCGCGGAGTGTCAAGAGCTCCAAGACTCCATCAAGCAGATGAAGCTGGAGGACCATCCGAGTTTTGGAAGGGATGCGGGTCCTCCATCAATACAGAGAGACAGAGAGAGACACACAGGTTTACGCGGCAGCGTGGCATAGTACGTACATGTATGTACATGTAGTATGTAGATGTGTGTATCTATATATATATATATTATATATGTGGGTGTACCGTGTAGTTTTGTGTTGTTTCGTATGTTTCTCTTTTGTGCGGTGTACCGTGATGTTGTGATGTTGGTGGTGATGCTTTTGGATCCGAACGACTGAGTCGGGGGAGCAGAGGGGAGAGTTCAGATCCAATTGTTCTTGGATTTGGTCCCCGACAACTTTGGAGCAAAGACGCTACTAGGAGCTCCTGGCCGTACTACTAGGAACAAGGACGCTACTAGGGGCTCCTGGCATTGCTACTAGGAGCAAGGACGCTATATGGACGGTTGTCGCTATATGGACGGCAGATCATGGCAGATTGCAAACCCTATCAATCAGCTGAATCGTCGACATTTGGTTGCAAAGGCTGTGTGGGCCCCCCAAGGCCATCAAGGCCAATCCAAGTAATCAGATGGATAAAGGTGAACAACCTCTGCTTCCCTATGGATCCACATACCTTCTCAAAAGTAATTGGACCGTACCTCAAAAGCGCGGGATGTGGCTTGACGGGCTTGACCGGTGGTTTCTTGTGGTAATTCGTCCAGGATTGCAAGGGACTCCTGGACGACGGGGGTCGATCCAACAAGAGGAAAACAACGACTGAGGGAGGCACCGATGGCGAACCGGACTGCTGTGGACGTGGACCAGGCCGAGGCTTTACGCCTCCAGATGGCGCGAGTGGAGGATGAGCGGGCAGGAGGCCCCAGTGCTGGTGGCGATCCGATTCGCCCTTCCTTTGTCACGCCTGGGACAATGTGTGCAGTGAGCGTTTTTTTTTTTTTTTCAAACTTTGGGCATTCTGTGAGGACAACAAGTTCTGCTGCTGGGACAAGTTCCGGGGCTGGGACAAGTCACGAAAGCTAGCATCAGCTAGCTGGAGTTGTCCTTGCTTTAGCAAGTGAGGGGCTGGAATCCTCGAGATCGCCGCATCACGTGAAAACTTCATATGTAGAGGGGGCCCCCCCCCCGCGGGTTCAACTGTTCAACTCCCCCTGGGACGCCTCTGGGACGGACACCTCTTGGACACCTCTTATGGCATCCACTTTGGTTCAACTCCTCGGTGGAGGTTTTGGGATACGATGCAACAGATTCAACAAGCTAAGGTTGGCTGTGTCATTGCTGTTCGTGTGTCTTACATGTTCACAACGTTTTACCTCATGAGCGAGACCTTGTGAACCATCCCTCCAACAGCCCCATGCCTATGAAAAAAGATTTGCCTCACTCCGCTTGATGTCCCACCAGTCCTTTGTCACTGGACGGCGCTGTATGCTTCGCCTCCACTGACATGGATGCATCCCTGCTAGCTTTTGTCACCTACCCTCGGCCTCAAGTTCCGGGCTGGGACAACAAGGGCAGCACTTTGTTGATTGAAGTTTTGTTGGATGCGCTGTTGGATCCAAATTGATTGAAGCGCTTATCCAGCATTTTTGAAGTTATCGGACTAGCACCGAACGCAAGTTTGGGAGCTAAGACCGGCCTCATTATCCAATCAGACTAGTTGCCCTAGCAAAATTGGTCCAACATCCAGCAGTATTTACCAATTTTCTTTCTTTTCACTTTTCACCAAAAAATTACATAGAATGACCAATTCCAATCATTGGACCAAATAGTTCACTCAACAATTTCAATTTCCATCCCTTTGATGAACAACATCCTTTTTCAGCTTAGTCTTCTCCAAACAATCGGATTTTGCTTGCATTTTTGCGTAGAAGGAAAATCGTCTTTCACACCCGTTTGACGTTTTCTATGGTTAATGCAATCATGTTTGATGGATTTGATCCACCTTAAATCGTTTCTGCCCCTTCATGTGTTCGCCTCTCCTCCTCGCCCCTTCAGTCCCGAGCCTGCGGACCCAGGATGCGGCGCTGGCACACGCCGCAGCGGCCGAGGAAAGACGGGACAGTCCAAGTCGGATCGATCTTCTTGGGTCGTACGCGTAGAGGACCAAACATAGTGCCAAACATACAGCAGATGCCTGATGATGCCTGATGAGTCTTGAAGAATCTTGCATCATTTTGGCTAAGGCTAAGGCTTTGGTGTTTTTTGCCGCGGCGACCTTTTTTTAAAGTCTCTTCTTCCCCTTCAAATCGTCGCTTTGCTCACAAAGCCTCCCAAATTCCATATTCCAGTGGAAACTCCCACCTCCCCATGAATGAGTCGAGGGAATATTGGGAGCAGTGGGAGCAGGCTGCAGGCATATGCAGATCGATGTCAGAGACGTCAGTCATCCTGAAGAAACTCCGATTTGTCACACTCACACCCATTCACGGGCCCCGCAGCCTCCTAGAACTGGTGTGCAGTTGTTGAACAGGAGGAGGCCTGTCGTCGAAGTGCCAAGCAGCAGAGGGTCATCGAAGAGGCAGAAAGCAGGGGGCTTTGGAATTGACCTAAACTGCAGATTATACAAAGGAGCACAGCAGGGTCAGGACCTCGGTCTAACGGTTTGTGCTCTCTTTTTCTTTGGCATTCGCATGCTTGGGCGTTTCACATTAACTGGAACACTCACCGAGCTCCAAAAGGTAGCTATGGCAATTTAACATGAAACTGTCCAGCCTTGAAAAAGCAATTGCGGTTCAACCCCAAGCTAAAGCCACGGAAAAGAATCCTTCACCATGCTCCACCTTCCCAACCTAGCTCGTTAGGCAAGAGTTTCTGCCCAACTTCATTTAGGCAGACAATTCCACCCGTTTTCAGTTCTGACTAGTTCTGGAGGCAGGAACCAGAACTTGAATAAACAAGCGAGAAAACACACGCTCGACTCGAGTCGCCAGTCCGCGAGTCGGCGAGTTCCTCTAAAGTGTTTGAAACTCATGTCACTCAAAAAAAAGCACCATGAGTGACCCCAAAAAAGCACCATGAGTTGGTCTGAAATTCATCTAAAGTGTCCCAAAAAAGCTACCATTGATTTGTGAAAACGCTGATTGTAGGTGAGGGGGAACGGGTATACGAACACTTAAGCAACAGGACACCTAAGGAACGGGTATACGAACGCTTAAGTGACAGGAAGAACGCCTACGGCTACGTAACAACGCACAGGGCTTCAAGCCAGCAGAGGTGAAGGGGGGCTCTGGATATCGGCCAAAAGAAGAGGGGGCTGAAGACAACCCATTGATCGTAGTGGGAGTGCACACCAAAGACAGTGTTCATGATCGATACTCTCGCATGCCGAATACTTTCTGGGCCGAAAGAGCGTACTCTAGTGGAGCCCTTGACCCGTCTTTGGGACAAGCCTTCGCTTTTCCCTCCCTGTTGCAACTGCGAATGCGCATTGAAGTCCCCGGGTGGAGAGATCTGGCAACAGCCAGAAATCCCACAGCTGATTTGCCAGCAGAAGAAGACTCTGCCTCAGACGACACCGGGTCAGCAGAACGGTCGCCACGACTTGCTCTCCCAGTGCCGGTGGGAATGGCAGAAACGCAGGCAGACGAAGCAGACGAAGCCACAGAGGACGAGGCCATGAATGCTGAACCCAGCCATGCCTTTGCCAAGGGGTATGGAAGGTTTGGCACAGGCTGCACTAGACTAGCAACGGCGCTGGGCAATTTCGAGCATGCAAAGTGATGATGAAGTCCTGACAAACAATTGTAATATATTGTAATTACTTCACTAATTATGAAGTTCCTGGAAGCAGTGTTGGATGGTTCCTTGTCTATTCGAGCATGCCCACCAAAAGACAAGAACGCTGAAGGGATAAGAATGCCTACAGGGGGCAAGAACGCCTAGGCATGGACAAGGCGCCTTTACCCATAATGGGCGGACATTCCTGCCCAAGAAGAAGGATGTATATGAACAATGTATACATTAGAACAAGGATGAACAAGGCACACACACACACACACATCAAATACAACCCCACTTTGTTGGTTTGTCCCTGTTCCACCGAACTCAGACCACCCCAAGCCTAAACACGAATCCACCCGGCCAAATATCTCTGGCGTCATCGCCTGCAGGTGCAGAAGTGTGAGGCCTTCCTCCAGGGCGAGGCGGAGCAGCAGCGGGAGGAGCTTCGCGACACTCAGGTGCCGAACGTTGCACCGTGCGCGGAGCTTTTCGGGTGCGAACGGGAGGGGTCTTTCAGAGATGGAGGCACCAGGTGGAGGTGGAGGTGGGCTGGAAGAGATCGGACAGATCGTGTGAAGATTTCGATGCGGCGTGTGGACATGTGCTGAGCCTTCTAAAGATGGATGCGGAGAGTTCCAGCGTTGGAAGGGCTACTCGTACTTGCCTCATGGGTCCTCTACAAGCAGGGGCTTTGCCACTTCGAGATTGTTTGGCACGGGAGTTGAGTTTGATCACTATTTGGAAGAGACTGAACTGGCTGGTCGGGAGATAGCTGATAGTTACTGATAGTTGTTTTCCCTCTTGTTGCAGAATCAACACCCAGGCTGGTTTGCACAAAAAACGCTCCATAGTCAAATACACAAGCTTTTCGCTCAACTCAGCTGTCAACAAAGTCAACCCTGTCAGGCATCTCACTGAAACACATTCGAACAATTTGGAAAACCACTGTCACTATCCCACGCGACATGGCTTGAGGCACATGTGAGGCGCTTGCAGAAGGAGCTTGCAGCTGCGACGGGCACCTCAGTGGGGGGTTCGGCATGTTCGGCCGGCGTCGGGGCTGATGGGTCTTGGCTGAAGTGATCACCCATCCCAGCTGGGCCGACTGGATCTTCACATGGCTGTGGGTGAAGAACTGGAGCTCCTTTCACCCCTTTTAGGTTGACCTCCTATAGGGTCGGTGGTCCATGAACTGTTCATGAGACCGCGGCGCGCGACCATCCCGGGGTCTCCATGACCCCCGGGGTCTCCGTCGGGTCGGGTCACGGTCTGCTGAAACAGCGCGCACGCGACCGCCGGGGGGGGTGGTTGGGTGGGTGCGTGAAGGTTCTCTTCTTTGGGTGTCCTCTGCTAGAGCTATCAAGCCAAAGGACAGAGCTGACGAGGCAAATCGACTTCCTAGATTGGGACTCCCGCGTGAGTCGTCCTCATTCGAGGATGACTCACATTGAGGGGACAAGGAGTCACTTGACAATGAGACTCACAGACTCACAGATGGAAATCATGGTTGCACCGTGACTGTGATGGAATCACAAGGGGGTCAATCCAGTCTAACCTAGTCGAAACCTTGGAAGGATTCTCAGACTCTGGCAGACACTGCACGTAGTGGAACTCGGTGTGGCGGGTTTTCGGTGTGGCGGAACTCACGCCCGCAGAAAGAAACATGGACTCTAATGGCCCCCCCTCCATGGAGTCTCTAAGTGGCCTAAATGATATCCTATAAGATGATATAAGATTATGGAATCCATATGGAATACAAGACCATGGTGATATAAGATACAAGACCATGATGACATTATGGAATCCATATGGAGACATGGTGATAATGGAATACAAGATGATATAAGATTCAGGCACCAAATCTTTCGATACTACACCATGTACTACCACCTGAGGAGGAAAAGAACAGTATTTCCGTTACTTTTCATTATCCACACGTGTTTGTAGCACCATGGCCAGCTTCGCGGCTCCGCGCTGTTAGGCTCTCAGAGGCTTCAGCGGCGAAGGAGCTGCGCGAAGCCTTGGAAACGGCTGAGGCGCGAAGCCTTGGAAACGGTCTGGGTGGGATCAGGAGACTCATGGTAGTGGCTAGAAGCTACTAGTAGCAGGGGCATCGCAACAAGAGCATCGCTAGTAGCAGCTAGAAGCTACTAATCCCAAACTCTCCATTTTTTGGAATAGTTATATAATTGTTGGGTCTGTCCTATTACCTATCACATCCTATCACTAGAGCAGAGAAAGGCCTGCCACCTAACCATCATCATCCACTGGGCCCTTGGTAATGGTATAGACTCGACCCAAGATGACCCAAGTGACCAAACCCAATGCAACTTAGATAAATAATTTGCGGTGCAGTGTATTATTGAAGCTGACAGGGGCCTAGCCAGACCCTAAAATGTGAGTAACTATTCCATACATGGAGTGTTGGGATATGGTTTTTGTGTCCAGTGTTGGTCCTGAACGTTCCGGTTCTTTGTCTTCAGCTGTTTGGACGGGTTGCGGGGATTATCCGGGCTGGGTGATGGAATAGTTCCATATTACCCTACATGGACCCTTAAAAGATCTTCATATCACTCCAGTCTAACTAATTAAAATCTAATAACCCTCTCCATTGCAGGGGTCGGACCCTCCATAGCAGGGGTCCGTTAGGGCCCACGCGTTGTGTGTGGGAGAATTTCCCAGAGGGCCGGGCAAAGCCTCCCTAAGGAAGACCACCCCCCGCACACCCAAAAAGCACTGCCTTGAGCTCTTGCGCAGAGTGTGTGTTGTGAGTTTGGGAGCTCTAATAGGGAGGTTCTGTGTGTTTGTGATTGCATGCGCGGAGGGCGACACCCCTATAGTCAGTGCATGACCACTTATAGCTGTGGTGGAGAACAACCCAAGTCATGGTTTGTCTCAGTAGAGACCCTACCGACCAGCGCCATCATCACCGTCACGGTCCTCGTCATCAGCAGAGCTCATGCGTGGATTCTTTCAATTCACCCTCCTCATGCTAGGAGCAAGGACGCTACTAGGGGCTCCTGGCATCGCTACTACGAGCAAGGACGCAAACAACTCCTAGCCTCCAAAAGCATTCAAAGGCCACCCACCAACCCTGGAGACTCGTCGCTCCTCTGGGCCCAGGCTGAAATGGCAGCTCAGAACTGCGTGGCCCCAGGTGGGGGTTGGTTGAGGTAGAGTGAAGGGGGGCCGCTCCTTCATAAGAGCAGGTCGGGTTTTTATACGGATCTTCACCATGGGATGGACCTCCAAGCCCATTGCGCAGAAGCTCTGCCGACGTTCAGCGACCGACGCAAGCAGTTCTACGCCCACCTCCACCGGGCCACTCCGCCGCCAGCCCCGAGCCCGTCGGTTTTTCGCTCCGCAGGCAGCGAGCCGGTCCACGCGCCGCTGGGCACGAAGGACGGTTTGCTTCGGTGGGTGCGGTGCTGGGATGTGCTGGGAGGTGTTGGGGGTATCTGGAGTGGGTGGATGGGATGCCCAAAGGGAGATCGTGAGGGAGGTGGTGGACCTTTGCAAAAGGACATGACATGAAATCAATTGATATAACATGATATAACTTAATAACATCCCCCCAGTCATGTTTGGTTCTGTTTTTTTTCCCCAGATAGCTTCAAACTATAACCGGTGTAGGGGTTCTTACTTCTCGGTGGTGTGGCTTTGGATCGGCGTTTTCGTTTTGCGGGTGCTGCTGCCGTGCTGGTCTCGGCGTTTCGTTTTGCGACTGTTTTTGGGGACTTTGCTTACAGTCCCGCGACTTGGCGGCAGACATCATGTCATGCCAGGGGTGACATGATGTCATGCTGTGTTACTGTGCATGGCAACGTGTTGCGCATCAATGATCATAAAAGTCGGCTGGGCCGCTTTGGCTGGTCCTTGCCGATCTTGCAGTTTTACGTCTGTGTTGGGCAAAGCGGGCGCATTCAGCTGTCTGATAGATGTTGCGCATATTGGTGGACTGGTTTGGTATGGTTTGGTGTTGCGTGCTGCGGTGCTAGCTGTCCGTTGCATGTCCTTTAAGACCTTTTACACCCGCTATCTGGGGGCCATGCCGGTGAAATTCTTTTCTGGAACCGGCTCCTGAATCAGACTCCCCTGTCCCAAACATGTACTAACTATCAACAACATTCAACAACCATGCCAGAAATGCCATTCAAAATACTGCACCAGGACTGCAAGCAGTTCCACTGCTCCCGATCCTTGCTCCACTGGCGTGATGCTTTTCGCCTTCACCTGCGTTCCCAGCTGCGCGACGATCTGCGCCGGGCGGACGTGCGGCGGCACGGGAGCAGAGCAGAGCTGGCGCTGGGGCGAGGCTTGAGGCAGTTGAGGCTGGAACGGTTGGATCATCTTGGATCCATGGAGTGCACCGAGGTTGTGGTATCATGCATGGTTTGTTCATGTTTATTGTACTTTCTATTGCTGCCATAATAGTTATATGATATTTAATGATATATTTTTTTTGCCCAGTACATACTAACAAATTTTGACCGGTGGAGTTGGGGGATCCTCTTGAGAATTGTTACCTTTGAAGTAAGATGGGTGCCCTGCAGTTTGATGTTTTCTTTTGTTTTCCCTCTAGAGTTGCTCGAAACCATCGAAATCATTTCAGAATTTCGGATAGCTTTTCAAAAGGGAGGGGCGCTTCCCCAAGCAGTTTGTGCGGCAATCGGAACATCAACAAGGCAATTTGAAAGGGGGGTAAATTTGAGCCAGATGGAACATTTTTGGATACCCTTGGTCTAGGAATAGGGAGATACGAGATCAAACAACATTACTACTGACAATGATTGGGCTTGGACAAATTTGGAAGACATGATCATGATGTGCCTACAGATGTTACAGCATTCACTTCTTCCAACTTGCCCTGCCCTTGCAAGTGGCTGCTGTGCTTGGTTTTTTCAACCTGCATTGAGGTGGTCAAAATCTCACACTCTGAGCCATTCAGTTCTGGGCACTCATGTCATTGGACTGTGTCGCTCGGATGGAGGCTGGCGCCCAGCCCATCACCCTCTGCGCCGTGCGCCCACGAGCCGCGCGCAGAGCGGCGCTCGGAACGTGCCGAAGTCGGCAGCGTGTCTCCGGCAATCGAGCGAAGGCTGGTGGGAGATGAGAAATGGGGGCAAGGCCCAGGGCAGGCGGTGGGCAATTTGGAATGGCATTGGAAAGATTGGAAAGGTAAAAGTACTCTGAAGTAGCCAAAGTAGAGGGTTTCCCAACAGTCTTGCAATGTTTGGACTGATACCTCCACACGCATGACGTCATCCCCAGCAGTAGGCATTGTGGGAGAGTTCCAGTACCACATCAGTAGGTTGCAGTTCTTTGACCATCCCTGCGCTGGCAGCCCGGAAGCATGAAAGGTTCGCTGAAGGTGCTGAAGGTGCTGTGGAGTCTCCAAGGTCTTGTTGCATCCCGATACCCAAAATGGTTAGTAGCACGGTTTCCTTATACATGTTCTACGTGGGGGGTCTACTTTTCTATCCACTTGGCGGTCTAAAATATATATCCCAGACACGACGAATGGGACTGGTCTATGCCGCCCCATTGACCCCCCAAACGCACCACCCCGTACAAGTACGGTAAAGCCATGGCAGTCCCATTCGTCGTGTCTGGGTCTGGGATACATGATTCCTCTTGATGCTGATAGCAACTCCACTTGTGACATCTTGTGACGCCTGGCGACCGGTGCTCAGTTGGCTTGTTCCGGTCGGCAGCTTTCGGATCAACGAATGCAACAAAATGAACTGTCAGAAGTAGGCAACCTACAAGAAAAGACCGCACAAGAGAGACCGGATCTTATGTTGTCCATCGCCACAGAAAGAGGATTGGATCCTGTTGGCTAGAGTGACTCGATGGCACAGGCTGCCTACTCGTAGCCGTCGTAGCCGAGTAGGACTGGATTTGGGAGGCGTGATTTCCTCTTACGAAGCGATGTTGGGCTCTTACGCCACCGGTGCCGCCGCCGCGATCCGAGCGGCGTCCATGATCGAAATCGAGCTGCAGCGCTTTGGGCTTCCCCCTCGCAGCGCCAGCGGCAGAACGGAAGCACCCGCACCGGCACCGCCGGCACCGCCCGCACCGCGGCAGATGGTGCGGGCGAGTGTGCCGGATGAAGCATGCCAACGTGAGGCTTGTGGGAAGCGGAGGCATCCAACCCAAGGCCACTGATCGTTCAGAAATGAGGATGGATGAGGAGTTTCCTGTTTCGTCATTTTCCAATACTATTCATGCTGTTGATGATGGGTTAGGAATGCTTGCAGGCAGACAGTGACTGAACAAACTGGCTTTTTGGATCTTATTGGAGGATTTTTAGGCCTCAGTACTCAGTAATGTGTATATACTGTAAACTGTACTCAACAAATTTGCTTGAGACCACTTAACTGTATATGGACAAGCTGTTCCAAATTGTGGAACTGTTTTCTGAAGTCAATCAGCCAAACAGGCCATGGATATTGCTGCTATGGATGTAGCAAGGGTTGGGTTTGCGGACCTCTTTGCACCAGTGTGATGACTGTTAAGTGTTGGCGTCCCAACAGTGCTGCGAGCGGCTCTGTTCTTGCTGCTGCGCGGGCGAGTGTGCCGGATGAAGCATGCCAACGTGAGGGTTGTGGGAAGCGGAGGCATCCAACCCAAGGCCACTGATCGTTCAGAAATGAGGATGGATGAGGAGTTTTTTGTTTCGCCATTTTCCAATACTATTCATGCTGTTGATGATGGGTTAGGAATGCTTGCAGGCAGACAGTGACTGAACAAACTGGCTTTTTGGATCTTATTGGAGGATTTTTAGGCCTCAGTACTCAGTAATGTGTATATACTGTAAACCGTACTCAACAAATTTGCTTGAGACCACTTAACTGTATATGGACAAGCTGTTCCAAATTGTGGAACTGTTTTCTGAAGTCAATCAGCCAAACAGGCCATGGATATTGCTGCTATGGATGTAGCAAGGGTTGGGTTTGCGGACCTCTTTGCACCAGTGTGACGACTGTTAAGTGTTGGCGTCCGAACTGCAAGAAGAGAAGACATAGCACTCAGAACACGGGATATTGCTGCGTTGGGTGCAAGAAGGGGCGTGGATGTGGACCTGGCTGTGAGAACAAGCTCTATTGAGCTGAGCCCAATGGAAGGAACATGAAGGAACTGATAATGCTATAAAGAAAGATACAGTCATTTGAGTTTGCTGACACGTGACAGTCTTACCGACTTCTTCATGCAGAGCCTGCTGTTGGAACGTGTGCCATCTCTAGATGGCTTGGCAGTGAACCTCGGTCTACAGCGAGATGGCCAGTGAACAGAGAAACATCCGACAGGCGCCAAGCTGCTCGATTGCTTTCATGACTGGCCACACCAGCACGCGCCTTGCGGTTCCACGGACCCAGCAGTGTGCGGCCGGAGCCGGCTTGACCCCGTGGCCGACGTCCAAGCCCATAGGGGGTTTGGGGGTGGTTGCCAGGGGGCCCGCCGGCAAAGTCCGGGTGCCAAGGCGGGGGGGGGGGGGGTGGGCATGTGTTCAGCCCATCGAGGAACCCGACGTCTCGCAGGACGTCTCGGAGGCGAGTCAAAAGCCCGGACCTGCTGGGAGATGGGAGACGTGTCCTGCTTCTACTTACGCTATACTAGTCACTAGTCTACTATATAGTTATTGTGCTTTTTGGGAGGGGGTGGCACTTAGGGTCGGACCTTCTGGCATGTTGGATCACTTCCAAAAATTGTTTGGAAGGTCCATTCATCATTGATCATAAGATCCTGGACAGTAACTACGACAACAAAGGGTTAACATTGAGCCATGATAAGCTATGTGTGGTATATAGGAGGTGGTTGTTGTGTTTTGCTTATTTTGGACGTCTGACTTCTGCGACTTCATCCGCATTTGTGCCACTCCCCTGTCACAGGCCCGTCCGGTCCCAGTCTGTGCCGGTGCTGCGCGGCGGCGGCCGCGTCCGGGCCGCGGCGCAGTCCGTGCCGGTGCCGCCCACCGCGCCCGGCGGGTGCGGTGTGCCCAGCCTAGCCAGCAGCCTAGCAGTGGCTGGCCAGCCTCGGGCGGTGCGCAGTGAAGAGAAGCAAGTGGCAGCTCCTTGGGATGCTGGAAGGTGTGGGACATTTGGTGTGGGTGCTGGGACCTTGAAAATGGACGGAAGTGCAGGTGGTTTTCATGAGAGTGGACCAGTGAAGCACCAATGTCATCAATTTCTGTTGCTAGACTAGGTGCTTAGTGGCTATATGGACTAGATGCGCTAGATGGAGGTTACTGATGGATGTTGCTTGGGGGTAAGGGACTTGCTTTTGTTGGAAGTGACTCTGCCGGCACACATGCCATGAAAAAGTGGCAGCTGGGAGAATCTGATTTCAAAAACCTTTGGAAAAAAGAAAGATGTTGGTTCGGTTCTCCAACATGGAGCGAGGGTGTTCCGCTGACTGTATAGCCGACCCATGCCGACCCGAAACATGTCATGCCCCAAATTCGGTAGACGTTCCGCAGATGGATATTATATAGTGTTTATTAATCTGACGTTTGCTGCATGCCTCTACTCTCAGTTGATCGATTCCCGGAGGAATTGTGAGGAATTGACATTTAATCAGCAAGATGATCGTCCAACAATGATGCCTGGAACATTGATTGAATCAGTGCAGCGTGGTGACAACACAGCTGATGTCAAATCTATTTTACCAGACTGGTTTCCACCCTTGTCCATTGTGCGAAGGCATGTGTTTCCTCAATTCCATATAGTCAACAAACAATATATATATATAGTTGTTAAGTATAAGAATTTTAAATTAAATCAAGCTTGTCTTCAAAATGCAGGTTTGTCGAATCCCCCTTCTGACTATTTATTCCCCATGCTGCCGCGACCCTCTTCTTTGTCGATTCCTTTGCTCGTTGGAGTGAGCCTTCCACGGTGAGTTAAGGCCGATGCTCTTCGGCACGCCGTCTTCAGCCTGAGCCTTTCCGCTTCTCTTGCTTGGGCCCACCTCGACGACGGTGAAGAAAAAGCAAGCCGCGCCGTCTCTGCGAGGGGTGGGTGGTGCGTATGACCTGGTTGCAAAGGTGGTCGGAGAAGTAGAGAAAGAGAGATAGACAGAGTATGAGGAGGGTGTATGTTCGATGATGTTCGAAAAGGTTCAGCAAGACGACAAGTGTGAATTCCAATACGAAGTGAGCAGGTCACAATTTATGTCAGCAATTTTCTCAGTGCAGAGCTTGAAGACTGACAGCAAAGGCAGGTCTTTTTCTCCAGCGTACCTCTGAAACAGTTTTGAAAAGAAGGTGCCGCTACTGTTTCCACAAGATAGAGCACCAGAATGCACCAGAGAAATGACTCAGTTTGGCAGATTTGGCAGGACATGCCTTGTTGGGCATTGTTGGCATATTTTCTTGGTCTCGCTAGCGTGGAAGTGGCGCAGGGTGCAATCACCGGAGTGGGTCCAAACCGAAGCGCTGATCTTTGAAGTCTGCAAGCACCGCCTGGTGCCGTCGCAGCAGTCGGCTTAGACTGAAACCTGCGAAGTGCAAGATTGGTGTTTTGCACTGATCTGGACGTTGCAGAGGTGGACGTTGTCAGAACACGTTCTAGAACGTTTGTTGCAAAGAACCAGCATGTTGGGTCATGTTGGGTCCTTGTTCACGCGTGGAAGTTCCTTTTGTCGTAAGCCATGACGAGCACAGATGGATTGACTTGTGGAGCGCTGGCCTTGGAGGGATTGTGAAGGTCATTTCAGCGCGAGAAGGTGGGGGTGCCCCTTTTGGGGGATTGCTGGAGGCTGAACGATGATACGTATGTCCCAGAGCGCAGAACTACTACTGTAAGTTACTAGAACCACGCCTGAAAACACTTCTTCACTTAGTATTGCTTCCTCAAGACAAGAGCCTTTTGGCAAACTACCCAAGTTCGGGGCACGTAGTACTCGTAGCTTCTGGGAGTGGGGGGGGGGGCCATGACTCAAGCTATCCGGCTCAGTCTCATCAGCCCATGCCTCACTTCTTCTCCAGATGGAGCGCCCAAGGCCTTCTCGGTGCTCTTGGCGTTTCTTCCGGCTGCCATGGGGAGTGACAGTGCGTCGACCCAGGCACCCTCCACCACTGTGCTGAAGGCCAGGCGGCTTGCCGTTATTTGGTCCTTCAAAAGTTGCTAATTTGGCTGCTTTGTTGAGGTCTCAGTGACCTGTCGGAGAGTGGAACAACGGCAGAACATCATCGAAATCAACACCACCTCGCTCCTCACTACTCCAAACAGTGTTCTTTTTGGGGGCGGACCGACCTGCGTCGAAAAAATGGGGGAACCGACAACACTACATGTGTCAATGTCGACACATGTCGACTTGGAGCAGTGCAAGCTTGAACAAATCCAGACCTGGGGAAAGAGACATGCTGGGTTAACCCGTTGCTCATATATGAAGGATGTGGGCCGCTCCGCTTGGTCGAGCGCTGGTGGCTGGTGGCGTGGTGGTTGTTTTTTTTCGCGGCCGGAAAGAAAGAAGCGCCGTAGGTGGAGGATGGCGCACAGACCTCCACATCCACCGGATTGTTGGAGGAGCCGTTTTGAGGGCGAACAATGTGGCAGTTCGGGGAGTGGAGAACTCCAAGATGTGCGGAGTTGGGAGCGACCAAGCGTCAGGAGGTAGGCGAAGATGCCCATACCTTAGACTGGTAGACGTGGTTGGATGCTATGGTATTCTTCTAGAAGCAACGCATGCTCTCTGAATGGAGGCTGATGTTCCAAAAGCTATCCCCTACCGGTCATTGACCTCATTGAGTTATGTTTTTTTTGGCATGAGCCGACCAAGCAAAATAAGGTCCATAAGTCCTAGAGGTGCTCCAGAAGTGGCTGCCCCTCTCTTCTTTGTGGGTCTTACTTCCCCCTCATTCCGCAGGAAGTCATGGACGTGTCCAGCAACCCCACCACTGGCATCGTAGCCGCGCTAGTGGCACCAAGCTCAGTGCGAAGTTGTTTCTTTCCTTTTTTTTTTTTGGGGGGGGGGCTTAGGATGTTATTTGAACGAATACAAGCCAACTTGTTTGCATTCAACATGGTTCAACCGGACACCAGAATATGATGTCGTTTTATTCATTTGTCCAAGCGTTTTGAAGGTTGTGTTTTTTCGTTGGATCCCAGTGTTTGATCTCATGTTCTTTGAAGCCACCAGCAACCGGAAGCCACTGAAGTGACCGGTCAAGTGCCCCATAGACTGCCATAGACCTCAGCTGACAATCCCTTCCAGCAGTGGCGATTTCGTGCACCCTCAGCAATTCATCAACAGCTTTGTGCAGCTTTGTGCCATGTTAACCAGGGGGACCCAGCTCACAAATTGAGACCGGCAGAGGGCCCAACAAGACAACCCAAAGCACCTGTTGGAGCTGGAGGGATCAAGCTGGATTTTGCAACGAGCTGACTCTACGCCCTGTTGTAAGACACTGGCACTCCTTTCACCACTTACTTCCCGCTTGAGTGGACGACTCACCAACCTCGCCTCCAGCAGTCGGACGTTCCACTCTCATCAGGGCGGCATTTGTTTGCTGGTGATTTTTTGGCGATGCTTCAAGTGGTGCGGAGCCGATGTGTTTTCGTTTGCGGAGTTCGGAGGGTGCAGGGGGGGTCGTTAATGTCGACATGGCAGCAGTGGTGGCAGCACATTGGTGTGTACAGTGGCCGTTGGGGAGCACTGTCTGACTCCGAACCGATTTGTGCGTTGAAACTTTTGGATTGTAGTAGTTTTGTATGGGTTTGCAGGTCCGCTCTACAGAACCATGTTCATGCATCAAGTATAGATCTGGATTTTCTGGCAGACTTGAATTCTCTTTATGGGATATTGTTGGCACACTTCAATTTCCCCTTTGAGCGTAGCATTTGGAATCACACAGTAGGTGTCCACTACAGCAGGTATCGCCGAAAGTGGCTATGGCAATGAAAAAATGGACCTGTTAATACAAATTACACCTGACAGGACTTCAAGTGGAAGTATGTCAAACTTGAGCAGTGTTTGGTCAGACGCATCAACACTAAGTCCCTCGGTGGGTGCTCTTCAGAAAAGCCAATGAACTTCATGCGCAATTCTCATGGTTCCCTCCCCTCCCCCCTCTGGCTCGTTCCAACGCAGGTTGACCAGCCCAAAGAAGACCCCAGCACCCTTGCTGGCGGACACCGAGCTCACCGAAGGGGACTGAGCACACGCGTGAGTGCTGGGAAGGTGGAATGAGACGCAATAATTTTTCCAGGTTCATCCGTCAAAGGAGCAGCAAATCTGATTCAACTTTGGCACTTCTCAAAGCTACCTTGCTAAAGGAAAGTTGAAGGGCGGTAAGACAGTGAATGAGGACAGTATAGAATTCTATATTTCATTTACAATTCATTTACAAAGAACTCTTGGAGTGCATGTACCCTATAGACTCTAGACTCTACGGTTTTCACCTGTTTTTAGCCCATGGTCCTGGAAGCAGATCTCGAGGTTCTGTCCCAGGTGACACCAGGGGGTTCGGTCCCTTCTCGGCGATCCGACCGTTCGGAGACCGGGCGGCGAACCCGTTCCGCTCCCATGGGGTCTGCCGGATCGGCCCCTTCCAGAGGTGGAAGCACATCACTACCACCCGCCCAGAGGTTTGACCATGTTTGACCTCTGAAAGAGCGGGGGGGCACCACTGAAAAACACCAAACAGGAACACGACCCCCACCAGTATCCCTCAGTCCTTTCGCCTTACTGGACGGTGGGCCGGGCGAATACTTGCGACTCGCTTTTTGGCTCAGATTGATTGAGCTGCCTGTTAGGTCATAGCTAGCGGGAGTGCCTCAGTTTTCTGGGGCCAGAACTTTGGGAGCTGCATGGCTGGAAAGCTTGGGCTTGGGAGGTGCCCTTGGTTGTGTTGTACGGCTTGTATGAGGCAGAATTCAGGATGGCCCACTTGTCCTCTCCTTCTTCCACATGCTCGCGCTTTTGAACAGACATGATGACTGTGTGTTTCTCGAGAAATGGGATCCAGACAAATCCTAGGTGGAGCCTCAACACTACCAGTACACCCTACACAAACTCGCATGTTTTGGACGTTTAGGCGTTTGGAATGTTTGCTCGGGTAAGGGTTACCCTTGGTTCTTGGCACCTGCTTCGGCCTATTCAACGCTGGGGTTTGACGGGGTACGTTTCAGAACGGCCAGGTGCCATTGACCCAAGCGCCACCCGCCTTGACCTCCAAACCGCCCTCCCTGCACGCCCTCGGCCGAGCCAAGGCACATGGGTTGGGCCAGCAGTGCTCAGGCACAGGAGGCCTCGCGCAGCGCGCTGGAGGCGGCCCGCCGGGAGTTGATGCGCTTGCGTGGCATCAATCATGCTTCGGAGGCGCCGGGCTGTGGGAGAGGTCGTGGGAGGTCGTAGGATGGGATCACGGCAAACCCTAAGAGAAGGAGGATGATACATGATGATACCAGGGAGAACGCTTCCTTTGGGTTTGCCTCAGCATGCCAGAACATGGAACCATAGGCATGCTAGGTGAGAAAGAAACTCTAGAGCAGTCTCGGGGAATCTGAACATGCCAAAACAATCCAAAACATATCTTCTGGCTAAGTTATCTATAGTTATCTCATTTCTCACACATGGCAACAAGCCCCCACCAAACGTTTACTTTACACAGCATTGGCAAGTCAAAGATTTGACATAATAAGTCATAACTATTGGGCCATGATGCATGATTCATGATCCCTGGAACTCTCAAATAGCCCCTTGGGGTATGGCTTCTGCCGTCGCGACTGGGACGGCAGGTCAAATCCACTTCCGTGGCTGCAGCCAACGAGTGGTGACCCCAGTTGTCAGGAGAGGCTAGTTGGATTTGGCCTCAGAAACACTCTGGGTGGCCAACTCAAGGCAATCATGCACAAGCTAACTAACCTGGTGGGCAATTCTCCCAAACGAGACACCTCTACAAGATGATCGATATAAATTTGCTCCATGTCTATACTTTGAGGCGTTGTGGCATTGTACGCTCCAAGAAATTTGATTGGTTGGAAGTACGAACTAGGAGTTTTCTCTAAATGGCCTCCAACCTGCTAGCAATGGCCTCCAACCTAATAATAATAGCAATATAGTATATAGTAATACTTTCCTTTCCATCATCTCAGGATAGTCTGTGGACCCCTACCCATGTTCCCCGAGGGCGGCACGCCTACAAGTGCTCCTGAAGAGCGTGGAGACGGAAGAGAGTAGCGGCCACGGGTCGACGAAATGAGCTGCGCTGGTGTTTTACGCGACGTCCCTGAAGAAATGGAAATTCATCCTATTTGGCACACGGGGGACAGCCATCTTCGCAAAAAACATGTGTGTATTTGTTGGGGGGTTGCGTGGAAAGGTTGCGCAGAAGTTTGATGCTAATATGCAAAGTAATATGCTAGTAACTGCTAGTAAGTGCTACTATAGTAAAGATTGTGAGTGGAACTCGTTGAATGGGAGAAGATGAAGGAAAATACTATTCAACCTTTGCTATCAAATGCTCACTTGCCACTGTTTCCACCAACAGGTGGGTCAGAAGGTAGCATACCTCCCAACAAATCTTTTTCACCTGTTCAACATATTTCGACCATTGTTCAGGAGCCCAAACAAATACCTTAGAAACCGCTCAAAAGAAGACCAGAGTTGGCCTAGCATCCCTCCGCTTCTTTGCCCTTCGTCGCATCCCTTCCGAATACGACCGATTCGCCCCTGAGGCGATCCCAGCAGTGATGATAGCTTTGAACTGGTCGAGAGCAACTCTCTTTCGGCGGGATCTTTATCATCCTGGAAGGATTTGGGAGAGCCTACAGGTGCCGAGTCCGGAAGCGCCCAGTCCGCGTAGGGGCGCGCGGGGGATACAGCGTGGTCAGTCAGTGTGAACAGGTCCCCAGGCGTGCTCCGCATAGGCGACATGGGAACTGTCTCTTTGGGGGGTTATGGATCATAGGGACATGTGGCACAAAAAACTGCAGTTTGCGTCAGGATTCCGATTGAATCCTGATATGTCATTGATGTTTAATGATAAGAACCTTTGGAGCATCTGGATTTATGACATGGATCATTGAACCACGGCTGCTTCCCGCTCTCAGCAGACTCCCTTTTGGCCCAGAAGGCTCACCCTTGCTCCTGGCCCTGGCCCGTCGAATGAGATGGTACCAGGTGCTCCGACCACCGGGACTGGGGCCATCGAAGAGACCTCCAGGCCCGCATTGGGACAGGGGGTGGGTGGGGCAGGGCCACCCGGAGTTCTTGTTGTTCTTGTTGTGCGTTGTGACCATGTGTGACCCGTTTTCGTGGCGATCAGCCCTGAGCAGCCAGCCCCCGTCCCCGGCCCCTGCCCGGCCCCTGTCGGCACCGCGAAGATGGCACGTTGGATGGCGTTCTTCGTGAGGACAGGGAACCGTTGAGAGGCGAGCTCGTATCCATGGGGCCCAGATTTTGTGGACCATCCGCGTCGGCCTCCTAAAAAGCCTCCTGGAAGAAAGAAAATAGACATAATCCATTGGGCGTCCCCGTCCCCTTTTAAATTGGTGAAAAGACCACGACCCACATGTTCATGCAACTTCTGGTGATGTGTTGGCCACCGAATGAACATCAATTAGGCCCCACCTTGTGGCACATGTACTTCTTCCAGAGGGGCTATGAGCATCACGGATGTCATAGGATGGCAGCCCCACTCTAATTAAGGGTCAAGTGATGGTCAGATGCACATAAGTGGCGTAGGGTTGACCTCGCTCCTTGCCTTCTGCTGGGTGACCGCCACGGCGATTGGTCACAGGCGGCGAGGCAAGAAGAGCGGACGAACGCGACAGAGAGCAGCGAAATGGAGGAAGGAGGTGCGAATCAGGAGAGCAGCGGACGTCCGACGGCGCGGAAGAATGGAAGACACCAGAGGATCCAGAGGTGGATTCCGTATGCGGATTGAGCGGGATGCCACCAGCAGCATATTGGAGTCCAGTCCTCATTGCTTTCGTTTGGTTCTCAGTGGCAACTCGTTCTAGAGGTACTTTCACGAAAAGATTGGCCCAACCCCCTATAGAGTAACCCTAGTACCTTTGCCTCTAGGCTTGTGCGACATCTACAGCGTCCGCTTTTGATCATGTTTGGTCTGCGGCGGGCAGAAGTGCGACGGTCAGGACTCCCAGCCCAGACTTCTACCACGTCTCCTTCAAGACTCAAGTTGAAGCGACCCGGCAATGATGCGGTATCTCCCCCGACCCGCAACAGCTGTTTCAGAGCGCCAGCGCCGGCGGAGATCTCACTCTTCGATTCTCTGTGCCGCACGTACAGACATTGCAGCGCAGGGCGGAGAAATAAGGCGGAATGCACGGTGCAGGTGCTGGGAAAGAGGATCCAAAGGTGACCATATATATGGGTTGTACATTGCACTGGCATGGCGCATTGAAGGAGTTGGCTCTTATGTCTTGAGCAGCATTTGGGCAAGTTAGATGGGAACCGTCATCAACAGCATGCCCCAGGTCTATTTATCAAGATGTTACGTTATCAAGATTGGTTACTTTCATGCAGGTATGTTCATGAAATGGCACATGTCCGATTACCGCCCTTCGCTGTGCCACCAACTGGGACAAACTTTTGGCAGAACAGTGCATGCTGAAGAACCCCTGGTAGGAGCACAAAACCCCACTTCAAGCATTTGTGGCATTTGCGCAACAAATCTACAAACATGTCTCAAGTGTCTGAATTGAATTTGAGCCGGTCAGTTTGATTGGGGCAACGGATACGGCAACTTTGCACCAAAAGGCAGACGGGGGTCTCAGACAATTGAGTGTGCGGCTTTTTTGCAACCTCCATGCCCTTGTCCCGCGCCCAGTCCTGCACCCCACTCGTTCGCAGCATCCGTAGGACCCAGTGCATGCTCCCGATCCGCCCAATGCGCTGTGGCCTTTGCCTCAGATGTGGCACGCATTGCATCTGCCACACGCGTGATGTGAGATGTGCGCTTGGTGAAGCAGCAGCCAATGAGAATGTTTCAGCATCCTAGGACAACCCAGAAACATCGTCATCCTCCACTGTACATCCTCCACTGTATGATCATATTAAGTAGGGCTAACGCCCTGGTGCCGCCGACCCTTTTTGGGCGAAGGATGGCGCCGTTTGTTTTGCCAGCTATGGTCCGGAGATGCAGAAAGGCTACAAGTCACAGTCTTTGATGCATATGGGGGCAGGAGTTTGAAACACATTGCGAAACCAAGATGAGCAGGCTAGATCCTACACTGGTTTATGACATGCTGACAACAGCGTTAATTCACCACATTCATGTGCCCCCAAAATGTCCAGTCGGGTAAATAGATAGGCAGTCAAAATACATGGCATGTTTGAGACACTTGTTGGGAGATGCCGGTGAGTGTGGAAATCATGATTGTTTACTATACGCGCATAGACTATACTGGGGCGCACTGCAGCGTGAGTTAACAAAAAGACAACAACGTGGTTTTGATGTTCCTGTGTCGTGGAAGATGGTTCTTCCGCCAGCCTATCGGGTCAAGCAAAGCCGACCTGGCTCTTGAGTGGAGATGGTGAGCGTTTTGGTTGCAACATTGCGCAGTAGCCCGTCTTGGGACCCGTGACCATCTATAAGGTCCTCGCTTTGGGGTTAACTAGTTGGTGAGTTCGCCTCACATTTAAGTCTGAAAGACAAATGGATTTTCAACATGTCAACAACATGTCACAAAGATTCCAGCCGGGTCCTGAGTTGAAATCATGAACGTCGCTGATGAACGGTTGTGCTCAAACATTTACAGCTGGTGGTTCACCAGCCGACAAAAATCGCTTGTCGATGTGGCCTTCAACTTGAGTCAGACCAACGTTGTTTCGTGACTGAAGCAGTCGTTCGACCACAAAAAGCAATGCAATGTATTTAGTCTTTAGCCCGCGCCCGCGGCCCTTGGTGGAGCCAGTGCAAATCCAAATAGTACCGCGTAGATCTGTTGAACGGCACTTTTGACTTGAACTATGGTTAGACCACAAAATAGATATAATCAATTTGCAATCTTTACGGTCTTAGGCTCGCCCGCCCTTGGTGGAGCCAGCGCCGATCCACATAATATACTTACATATTTTTGCCTCTCGCAGATTTGCCATGGCAACTCTAGATGTGGCTGCCTTAAAGACCAACTTAGCGGCAGAAGAATTTTGCCCAGGCTTCCGCTACTCGGACGAATTTTCGCGGAGATGGGTCGAAAAAATTGGGGTTCAGTTCAGCCGAAGGAGCCGTGGATACAATAAGACTGTCCAAGAATCGTTCTCTGCTGTCTGGACTGCGTTGGACGAACGGTTCCCTGAAAGACAGATCACTTGGCCGGTGTGGCCAGCTGCCCGAGACCTTCTCTCTGTTGGGAACTTGTAACACATGAAGCCTTTGGATCGAACAATAGTTCCCAACATCTACAGCCAGAAGGTCTGCCGCGTGGCTACCCGTGATTCTTTCAGCGACGACGTGTTGGTCAAACGCATTTATGAGAATCCGCCATTGGCTTTCGATCTTACTTGGCGCCATAAGGGCTTTAAAGCTTTTGAGGAGATTTGGCCTCAGGCTGAGAAAAATCAATGTTTGTGAGTGAGGGAGAGGCGCCAGCCGCAGCAGAATCTTCAGGGGCCAATGAAATCGATCGCTTCGATTATTCAGAGCAGATGCATTAAAAGTACCAGGTTGATCAGGGCAGGCAACTACAGAAGCACCCGGGTGGTATTTCTTGGGATGGTGGTGCGGCGCGTCAAGCGCTCGACGTTGCAGCTTTTGGATCGCCAGACGGCAACTACCAGTGTCTAACGTCGCTTTTGGAATCCTATAGAAGAACAGGTGCGGAACTGCGTAGCAGCAGCCAAGGTGATGGCCATAGACCGGTCCTGCTGCCCTGTAGAGAGCTCAAAAAGGGCTGGTGTCGCCACAGCCTTCCCTGCGGAACTGCGTAGCAGCAGCCAAGGTGATGGCCAGAGACCGGTCCTACTGCCTTGCAGAAAGCTCAAAAAGGGCTGGTGTCACAGCGCAAACGGATGCCAAGTTGCAGCTACCAGTCTCTAACATCGCTTTTGGACTCCTATAGGAAAATGGGGCGGAACCGCGTAGCAGCAGCCACGGTGATGGCGGCCACAGACCGGTTCTGTTGCCGTGTAGAAAGCCAAAAAGGGCTGGTGTAGGTGATGGCCTAAAGCATGTCTCCTGCTGAGCAACTGAGGCCATGACAAGCTGGCAAAGCCTTTGCTCGAACCACCAAAGGCCCAATGCCAACCGTTTCACCCTGCGGTGTCCCACACGCCGCCCCGCCTAGGCACCAGCCAGGCCGGGGTCGGCTGATATCAAATTAGTCCGACTGCTCCTTTCTTGTGATTCCTTCAGCGAGCATGGACGGGCATACATTCGTGTTCAGGATGGGCGGCGCTGGTCCGGCGCGTGAGCTAATGCCTTCGAGTTCCGCCGGTTTTACGTCGTGCGGGCCTCAAACCCATGCCGTTCTTGCCGCGCGGAACCGCGCCGCGATGCGCGTGGTTTTCAGCCAGTGCGTGAGCTACGCTTCGTGGGGGCGGTTGTGCGAGGGGCGGTTTAGGTGGGTCGCGGCGTTGGTGTGAGTGTAGAATCGTGCTGATGAGTTCAGAGGGGCCATGGCCCTGAGAGTGAGGGGCCATTGTGTTTAGAGTGAGGGGTGTAGTGTGGTCGGCTCAGGTGTGTTGACTCGTTTTGCGGAGAAGCTCTGCTTGTCATCGAGGGGGCTCACAGCTGACAGAGGAAGAAGACGGGAGCAACAGCGCTTGGATCCTTGAGAAAGTGCAACAGAAGCCCACGCCAAAGCACTCCCGGAACAGTGGACATGGACAAAACATGAAAAAACACAGAAGCTGGCTGGCACCAGGACCATCCAAGGGGTGTCCAATAAGGATTCATAGGTGCCCATGTAGTGTAGTCTATTGGGCACCCCTTGGATTGTCCTGGCAGTCCTGCTAGACTGAGGTTCTGAGAGCAAACAATCTGTGAGAGAGGCTGAGAGGACATCTATCCGGCTTGCCGCCGTGGCAACGGCTGGAAGAAGGCCTTCACGTGCCTAGTGTTCGGTTGGTCTGTGGAAACACTAGGCGCAGATCATTCAGATCAGTCGGATCGTTTGGTTCATGTGCAAGGTATTCGCTTGATATTCCCCTTTCAGGGGGCCGTGATGTGGCATCATGTCCAGCCGGCTGGAAATGTTTAAGGCTGACTGGGTCGCGTAAATATAGGCGTTGGGCTTAAACCCACCAAATCCGAACTTAATTTATATACAATCTTATTGACTGTTAGTCTCCTCCTGTTCACTGTTCGTCTCCTACTACCCTGAATGGCCAAACATCTCCAACTCATCTTTCTTTAGCATGCAAAAAATCGAAATGTTGAACGTACAATTTTGGGTCTTCAAATTTGTTATTAGTTGATTGAATGCTTGTTGGGCGGCTGCCAGAGAGGAATGTCCTCTTTTCTGTTTTTTCTTTTTGCCTGGCACCTGTGGTGCTTCAAGTGCAGCTGCTTCCGAACTGCTCTGCAAAAGAATTGCAGGGCCATTGTGAAGGGCGAGGGTTGGAGGTGGCCCCTTGATCTTGAGGCATGTTCCACCTTAGTTCAGTTTCCCTCCAACAACGTCGATACCTGTCACTAGATGTGGTGTGTGGCTGTCACTAGATGTCTCCCTGGCCGAGCTTGCATCTTTTGCGCGCAACAGGCTTGCTGCAAAGCATGAGCTTGTAAACCCAGTGGAGGCCCAGAATGAAGATGCCAGAGCTGCTTGTTACTAGATTCAGCTTGCTAGAGGCGCACAATGATTATTGATATGCATTCAACATGAGGTCCCCTTGAATATTTTGTAGGCATCGTTTCGATTTTGCTTGGGGACTAGAAGTGTTTTTGAGCTTTCCCAATCGTGCTATACATGGGAGCTCAAG